TTTTTTTTTGTATTTCGCTTTTATGTGTCATATTCACTATTTTTTTATGTAATGCACTTGCAATGAAAAAATCATTACTTTGTAGGATCATTTTAAGAGCATTATTTTTTTATTAATTTGCTTTTTAATTTTTAATTTTTCCATTTGAAGCGTTTCTTGTTTTCTATTTTACTGGCCTTATTCCATTTATTCCTTATGGCACTGTTCCAGGCACTTTCACGGTAACCCAAGTTCACATTATCTATTGATGTTGTTTTTAAAACTCGTATTATAACTAGTTTCTCTCTTTTACAATTAGATCTACGCTTGTTTTGTAAACAAACCTTCCAATAATCAAAAATACAAATATATATAACAAAACAACCCTGCTATACCATGCAACAGAAGCATTTTAAGAAGCTAAACAACACAGAAAGAATACTTAAGTTTGCAGTATTAACGAAGAAGAGAAAGAGTAAAGAAACAGAAACATTTACGATCATAATTTTGGAGATAAACATTGAATTTGACGATGAAAGTCTTAAAATGAATACAAGATATAGAAAGGATAACTTTAAATGATGTTTGTAACTACATAAACGATACGTTTGTTGCTAAGATATCTGAAGAGTAAACTTATCTTTACTGGTAACGAGTTCAGTAACTGGTCTCTACAGCAAAACCTTTATTTCGTTTGAAAAAAAAACTTCAAGAACTATTTTCTTTTTTTTTCGTTGAATATAAAGAGTTAAAAAATAAGTGTAATCGAATCTAATAAAAGAAACGAAAATTCCCCACTAGCGTGGGTGGATTTGAAACTGTTCATTGAAATTTATTCGTTTATGAATTGCGTTTGAAACTTATTTCTACGAGCTAGCTACAAGCGAAATGGCTTAGCTTGAAAAGAAAATTCTTCCTAAATTTAAATTTTTTTTCTTTCTACAAGAAACAGGGGATTTCATCCGTTTTTCTTTCTTGTATCAAAGTTAGGACGAGTGTTTGATGTTTTAACATCAAATGTGAATCCATTTACGTTTTCGTTTACTGAGAGGTCCCCTAGCGGATGCGATTTTATCAGGTTTTTGAAGCATCTGGTGACAGAATCTTATTTATATGACACCATGCTAAGCGTTCTTGACTTGCTAATGCAACGGTCTCTGTAACTAATTGATAAACTTGATTAGATCAATGAGTAAAATAGATGGGTAGTTCTCGATGGAAAACTGAAAAATCAAGCTTATTAGCTACATGAAAGACGTTTTACAAAACGACGCAAAAGAAACACCAATTTTATCTTCATACCCTGAAACAACCTTTGGACTGATCTAATTAACCGAAACAAGTGACCCACCTCCCTTTCTCTCTCTCGGTCACTTGTTTGATCCCACTACATCAAGCTGCTTGCCTGCTCGCCTGCTTGCCTGCCTGCCTGCTCACCTGCTGCCTTCTTGCCTGCTTGCTTGCTTGCCTGCTTGCCTGCTTGCCTGCTTGCCTGCTTATAGCAACGATAACACAGGTAGCCTAATCCCTATTACTCATTCCAGACAACATGGGCTACACGTCCATATCCACCACAATTAAGGTCAATTGAAGCTTATTTGCTCGTCACAAACAGAACCTAATCTCCACTGATCTAACGTACGCATACAAGCATGACATTTGACGTGCGCGTACACCTCTGACGTAGGTCCTTATTAAAAGCAAACAAACTGGTTACRAACTAGTTTTTACCTATGACGTAGTCAGGTACATGATGACGTGCTTTGCTTTGCGAAAGCAGGTTTAATGCTCAAAAAAAGTGCCGAGAATAAGAGGCTTCGTCATACCTTGAAAGCTTTCAGTTTCCCTAGACCATTCACTGTATACACAAGTCAGGGATGTTATATGCAATTTGTACTTACGTCATTTACATGTCGGATATGTATTCGCTGTGATAGCAAAGGAAACCAGAATGACAATTCACCATTTTCCATACATTGGTTTACTAGTCAAACACAAAGCGCTCAAGCGAGGCGCCAAGGTACTTTCAAAGGATTATTCAAATTTGAACCTTGCAACCTCGACTGAATGCTTTGTGTTTGACCAGTGAACCGATGTATGGAAAATGGTGAATTTCATTTAGAGAGGGAAGATAAGAAGAAAGGGACCGCCATTTTACGTGGTCACTTAGAGAGGAAAATCCTTTTATAAAGGCTTTGCATCATCACGTGATGGCAGCCATGACAGGAGGCACAACAATAGTCTTTTACCCTGGGAAACTGAATTCTTTCTCATGTAAATCAGATTAGACCAGATTCAATTGTTCCTGCCTCCTGTCATTGCTGCCATCACGTGATGGTGCAAAGCCTCCATTCCCTATTCTCAAGCATCAACGGACTTCCAGAATCAACAGAACGATGCATTCTAAATTACACTGATCCATTGTAGCGTCAATAGGCCCTTTGCAGCTAAGCAATCACGTGCTGATTAATTCACTGACAGCAAATGTTGAATGAACATCTTGTTTCCCATAGGTGAAATATACTGGTGAGCAAACAAACTTTCTACAACCTGTTTCGAGAGATCGTAATAAAACTACATTTCGTAACACACTGGATACACATGTTTTCATTCAGTTCTTTACAAGTAGCTAAAAAGAACCACCAATTTAATATGAAAACAAAAATTTTGCATTCCAGTACAGACACGTGACCGTTAACTGCAAAGGGCCTATTTTTCAGTCTTTTTCTTGGAAGCTAATGTCGGGAAGAATCGAGCCATTCAGTTTAGTAAAATCTGTCCGTTCGATATTTTTTTAGAGCCTAATATCATTAAGTGGCTCATATTAGGATGACAGCATTGAATAAAACTAAGAAGATATAGCTGTCAATCAAATAAATAGATGACAGATTTATGTGATATTATGACTTGTAGGTCTTCATTTCTTTAGCACTCTGGGAGATCAGTCTGTTTCTCGTCATGTATCATTCATCAAAACTTTGAGATTAGTTAAGAGTGCTATCTGAAGAGCTCTTGCTGCTTTAAATATGCGGGAAAATTATGATATTCTAAGTATAACAGACTCTTTTTATTGCTTGGGCGTAAAGTTTTTTTCTATTTCAGACCATGTGTCATTATCTTGAGAATAAGATTCTTTGTTTGAGCTGTATTCATATGCATGCGTCTTCTCATTTTCGACTGTTATACAAAAAATGAGACTCAAAAGAATGACAATGTGGTCTGAAATGGAAAACGAGTCAGTGACGTTGAGCAATGCTGCCAAGTTGTCAAAGAATTCCTTGGTGTCAAAAACCTCGCTAGAAAACCTGAAAATGAGCTACTGTGCAAAGGATTGTGGGAATGAAATGCTATCTGGTTGATAGCACGTGATAGGTAGCGTTTGCCTGTCATGATTCTAGGCTGGTAATGAGATTCATTCAGCTCATTGATTACTGTCGTTGATAGCACATGATGGGCAGTGTTTGCTTGTCTTTGTAAGCTGGTAATGAGATTTATGAGATTCGTTCAGCTCACAGATACCAACCACTAGAACATCCTATTGTAGCCTATACTATAACAACACAAGGATTCAAGGATGGTCGATTAACAAGCTTTTGTGAGAATTGGCTTCAAGTTAAGAAGAATTGAAGCAACACGATATAGACCCCTTGCAGCACCTTGAAATGCAGCTGAATTTGGAGGGCAACACAAATAGGTTTCCAATTATCAAGAAATTGAAATTCGTTTGTTTCGTCCTTCAAATTAAGCTGCTTTGACATCACATGCAAGGGTTCTATGMCTCAGTTTCTAAAAATAAAAATTCTCAAGTCTTGCTGTTTGGGCAATACAATCCACTATAAAGGATGTTTCGTTTACTTAAGCCCCGTTTACACTGGCGATTGTTGCGGCGATTTTTGTTGCAATTTTCGGAAATATGAAATCCTTTGTGTCATCCTTCAAAAGAGACATTCGTCTAGGAAAATCTTGGTATCCTGAAAAAAACTTTACAAGTAAATTCCTTACCAATATTTATTATGGACAAATTCGCAAAAAAATCGCAGCAAAAATCGCCGCCAAAATCGCTATTATAAACGGGGCTTTAAGAACCTACTTCCCTCAATGTTTTGGAAGCCGAAAATTCGTGACATTACTGCGACAATAAAATGGTGATGTGTTTAATTGTAGCATTAATTAAAACGCTTAATCCTATCTCACAACCTAAGATAACCTTTAGGATCGTTTGCATCGGTAGATTTATCTAAAAGATACCTATATTAGAAACTCAATCATCATTGAATGAATATTTCCAAAATCCATTTACTAAGAAATTCAAAAAGAGATTCAAAAATTTAGCCCCTTCAATACAAATTAGAAAACTGTCAAAAAATATCCATTAATTTATTTTTCTTTGTTTGAATTTTGATCTTGAAGTTTTTTCCATCTTTCTTCCAAATTCATTAATTCCAAAGTTATTACTTTAAGCTGTTTGATTATTTTGTCTTGTTAAACCTATTTCAAAAAAAAGTTTGTTGGAGCCAAATTAAGGCGATAGGCAATAATTTAAGCAATAAGATGTAGTCATTCCTATTCGTTTCTTATTCATGATTATTCTCGTCAAGAACACGCGAGTATTGAGATATCCAGTGTTGTTTGTAGTCGACGAAACTAATTCAAAGACCTTGATTATTTATGTTTAGATGTACGCCCATAATTCCTTTCCTTTTGGAATAACAAACTCCTATCTCCTTTCTCATTTTTCACCGACAACCTTTCTTGAAATAAGTGTATATACATCCTCGCAAAACAAAAATTCCATATATTCTGTGTGACATTTCGTTTCGTGAGACTAACCTGCCCTCCTAATGAGCTGTGCGTGCTAGTCCAAGGGAGATATTAATTAAGTTTTCGAAAAATGGGATTAGTCAAATTCAGACTTTGTTTTATTAAATTTGGACTATTTTTTTAAACTTATCACGTGACAATATTGTTCGAAATCGTATCTTCAAGAAGGGCTGCTAAAACCTAAAGTTAAAAGAAGTGTACTAGAGGGAAGGGCAGAGCGCCAGACTCCTTCAGCAGTTTTGTGAGTATGACTTGGGTTTAGAGCTTTAGAATTTGTATTATAAGTGGTAAAATCGTTGAATGTCATAATATTTTCTAGCTCCTAACAGGTTCAATTTTTGAAATCCTTTTCAGACTCTTTTTCTTTCTTCGTTTTTGTTGACGTTTCAAAACGCTTCGTATGCCTTCCTAAAGGCCGGTTTAGACGGCACAATTTTCGCCTGCTATCGTATACAACACGCTCGCGCCATCCTACAAACCTACCTATTTAAGACTACCTGTCATTCTATGATAAAACAAGTAACTACAATTGTTTCTTCGATCTAGGGATTTAATATAGAAATACTCATGATAAAAAAGCGTATTTTTGAGGGTTTTTGATGTCAAAATATTACACTTTGCGTGGCTTTTTACAAAGTAACCCATTGGATTGCACGCGGTTATGGACTTTCGCAAGAATGATTTCTGCGCATCCTTTTTGCGCATCCTTGCTGTTCTTGTGCGATTTTTTCAAAAGCAAGACCTGTGACCTCTCCTTTTTAGTTTGAWTTTTTTCAGAATATGAATTAACATGTTTATGCAAATTAAAAAATATGTATTTCAGAAGTAAGTTCATGTGGTCGCGAAGTTTCACAAGCGTCCAATTTCTTTTCTTTTCTTTTCTTTTTTTTTTTTCGCTTTTTGAGATAATATATTTTCCATCATTTATTAAAATATATCGTGTCGGTTATAGTCAAGCTTTCGTTTTTATTTGTCTTTATTATAGTAATATTCAAATAAAAGAAGAAGAAAAAAAACAAAAACGAAAAAAAAAAATGAAACATTCATAAAAATTTTAAAAATTTAATGCCTACGCCTGGCTTGAGTCAACATTCAATATTATGGAAAGAAAATTTGATATTTCTATAAAACCGCATGTTAAAAAACATAAACATTTGTTCTAGGTCCTACATTGAAAATTAATATGTGTTTTGTGCCAAATTTGCGTTGCCTTATTGTTATGTAAATCAGCTAGCAGTGAGGACAATCTAATTAAACTCCAATATTTATTTGAAAAGTTCAACGACTACTTTATCCATGGAAGATCAGTATTGCATACAATTATCGAGGGTCTTGTGAGGTAAGGCAGGAAACAATGCAAATCGTATAGCAATACAACTTTAGACGATATCATATCCCGTAGTTTTTTTTGCATATGTTACGTTATGATTTTGGTGCAGTCCTATATCCTTTGTCGTTTCTTGCTTTTTCAATTACCGTAGAATTATTGGTTCGCTTTATGTGCATTGAGATTTTGTAAACAGTTGACAATTTCTACTTTAGATTTGGCTTTAACGGCGTGGTGGTAAGCGAGAAAATATACAAATAGCAACAACGAAACAAACAAAAGAGAAAGAAAAGAAAAAGAAAGAAAAGAAAAAAAAAATAAAGAAAAAAAACCCCTTCTAAACACAAAAGTTTATGAAAAGTAGGACTGCCGACTGCTGTGTGTACCTATTGTCGACTTTTGCGTGCGAATCATTATTCTGTTCAAGTTTATGATACTTTTTTAGCGACATGCTAGATTTGCGATTCATCTTAAAAAGAAAATTCCACGGAAACTAGCTGCAAAATACTGACGTTTTATCAGTGTGTGCTGTCGTTCGTAACCGAGTTCTTTCTTAGCCATTCTTGGTAAGAAAAAGTTTCACGAAAAGTATCCACTGCTTTCCATTGGTGCAAATTTTAAATGAAAGTTTGACGACGTATGTCACGTTAAAAACTTTTTATATTGAACAAAAATTCTGCGTTTCGTTTACGTTTTTTGCAATTTATTTATTTGTTAATTCTTTCACAGAATTTTATATTGCTTTGAAATTGTAAAATATTAATAATGCAAGTATCGAAACAGGTGTTCTGTTGTAATAGAAGGCGAGAGTAGGTTTTTAAAAGGTTATATTGTATTGGTGGGTGGTGTGGCGGTTGTGCACTCACCTCTGGATATTCGGGTTCGATTCCTGGCCTTCAGCCATATCATTATTGACTGAGTGGGAGGGCCGTACGGGAAAATATTTGGCTCGAGGTGATGCCGTACATGACCGAGAGCCAAATATTTTTCCGTACGGCACGACCTAACTCAGTCAATAAGCATTTTATCATATGACCCTCACGAAAAGAAAAATAATAGAATAAAAGAAAGTCGCAGGTTTCGAGCAGGGCCGTACGGATTCGTACACGGCCCTGCTCGCTCAAAGCCGTACGGCCCTGCTCACGCCAGGGACCTTAAGCTGCAGGACGGCAACGACGACGACGACGGCAAACATACAATAGCACTAATTGCGCTATTCAATAGATACTCGTTGGAATGTACGAAACACTGTGCATCATTGCCGTCTTATGCTGAAAGTAAGACGTGAAATGTCCTATTTTACGTACTAAAGAGAGCGGCTACGCCAAAAGCTTATCTTTGCTGATTTTCGTTATAATTAAAGCGCTCCCAAAAGACGTCATTTCACTCCAAAACGGGGAAGCTTATTGAGTAAAATACTAGGTAAACACGAAATAATAATACAATAAAAGGTTGAAGCGCCTCAATTTCGCCGACGTTGTCGCCCACGTTGCCGTTCTGCAGCTTAACGTCCCTAATTTCCCGAAGAGCGCGCGCCCGGGCAGATACGGGTCATATGATAAATAGTTTCATCTCATCAAAGAAAAGAAAGCATATATCTAAATATAGTTTTTCCACGAAGTTCTGTAGCTTCATTTGCAAAAATTTGATACATGAAATACTATCCTACTTTTTAATAATTTTGTTTTGCGCATGCGCATAGCGAGTCCCATAAATTGCTGACCTTAATGATTACAGGCTCATGTGAATATTACTTTTTTCAAAAATGAGATTACATTTTTTAACAACCGTTTTATTTCACGCCTTGAAAACAGTATTTTTTCCCTGTCTCTTTGAATTTAATTTAAAACTTAATTATACACCGGCTGTAAACTCGGTCTATATTTGGCAACACATTCAGAATAACTTGAAGAGAAAGGAAAGCTCGCTTCAGCAATACAGGAATCTGTTTTTCAAGTTGAATGAAACCTGATTGATCTCGCATTTGGCCTCCTTATGACTCTGTTTCCCAGTTCTGAAAATCTCGAAAAAATGGCGCTTGCATTAGGTTGGTTCCTAAGGATATTTTCAAACTCTTTCTCCACAAAATGTAGTCTTCATACTTCATTCAAGAATTCGTTTTTCACGGCATTTCAACGTTGAAATTATGAGATTTGTGGTGGAGTCATTCCAGCGATAAGCTGCTCATTTTGAATTGTAAAGACGATTTTAAACCAATACGACATTTGGCAAATGTATCTCGTATAGGTTCGACTTCGAAAGCGTCGTGAAAATCATCACCCGCGATTCAAAATCTATTAACTTCTTTGTTTATTCTGTTTTGAAAGCGAAATTATCTCAAAGCTAGCTAGTCGAAAATGAAAGAAAACTCCATGCTGAATGCATCGGTGTTAAATTATGTTTACCACATTGCAAACTACTACTTATTATCAGTCCACTAACAGAGGTCACGTTTTCTCACTTTAGATCCATCCAACCTTTACGACGCGGCCTTCTCAGAGGAAAGATCTTTTAGCCCAGGACACTGAACATTGTACAACACTAAGGCGGTGGGTACAAAAACTATTGATGTTCAACTATTTTTCTACACAATGCTTTTACTTATAGAGTGACCACAGTAAATCGATCCGTGAAACTTTAGTTATACTAAATAGCACAATTTCATGCAAATTCCATTGTTTTCTACTTGTTTAACTAGCACTATTTTGTACTATTTAGTAATTAGTGTTTCACGGATTTACTGTGGTCACTCTACTTCTTTGCAGCTATTTCTAAAAAGGTCGTTCAATACAGAATACTGCAAACTTGATTCCAGTTTATTTAATTCATCGCGGTAAAATATAACGAGAGTCTTTTAGAAGCTAAAACCAAGCTAAACTAAAATGTTTTACCTATTATACCCATTACATCTCTTTTCTATAAATGCAGAATATTTTTTCTTTACCTTTGCTTTAAATTTCGACCTGGTAATGTGTTATTGACTGTAGCAGTATTCAGTATATAATAACCTTTTTTCGAGTAGGTGAGTTTATCTAAGTAGCACCCATTGATGAATAATATTATCGGAAAATGAAAGTTCTTCCACGGGTAAGCTCTGCAAGTATTTGTCCTCAATGCTATAATATAACAGTACTCATTTGTTTGTTTGTAATATATAGCTTTTTCTGCCTCTATTTATACTAGGTAAAACTGTTTTTACCCCATCATTTTCTTTTTTTATAAGATGATTCAAATTATTTGTATAGTAAGGGGGAAAAAATATTTAAAAAAAGGAAGAAAAAAGAAGAGACATTGAAGTAAATCTATTGAAGTTTTATCGTTTTGAAGTATTTTTAAAAAGCTAGGTTGCCCGAATTAAGGCCGATCGATAAACATAATATAATATCCTGATTCTTCCAGGATTTTCTAGTGAGAAAATGAAAGTTAAATCAAAATCACAACATTTTTAAAACATCCAAAGAAACTTAGTTGGTGTCTGGATTTACACCGCCTATTTCTTACCCTTTGCGCGCCTCTCCCTCATAACGCTTGTTAGATTATATATATTTTATATTTATTGTTTTTTTGTTTGTTTTGTTTTGTTTTGTTCTCCTTTGTAATTCAAACGTGATGAAAACCTCTAAGGCCCCGTCCACACTATGCCGGATAAATTTGAATCCGAATTTTTATTTATCTGGTTAGGCCTACCGTTCACACTAGTCCGGGCGAATCCGGAACAATTCTTCATCGACAACGAATACGGTCGAATACGGTCTCCAGAGTGGAAAAATTTGAAAACGCCGGCTAGCCGTATTAGTGTGGACGGAGAACATTTTTCGAATACGATGACGTCATGATTGTCATGGGAGCCTGGCGGAAAGGCTAAAATTTCACTGCAGGCTTAATTTCAGCTAAAATGCACATGCTCAGATGTGTAATAAAGCGTTTTTGCCGCCTCTGATCGGACTAGTGTGGACGTGAAACATTTTATCCGTTTTCATGTGTGGACGGAAAACTTTTTTTTCGGTTTCGTTGTGAAAGTTGCGGATTCAAATTTATCCGGCATAGTGTGGACGGGGCCTAAATAAATAAACATGTCATTCCCTTGAGTATCATTTCTTTTCTTGTTCTAAAAATAATAAAGAGTGATCTATTTTATTCTTAAAAAGTATAGAATGGGAAATTCCAGATAGTTTTTTACTATAACAGCAGTTCCTATAGACCCCATGCAGCACTTTGGAATGCACCTCAATCTGGGGGACAAAATAATAGGTTCCAATTGCCCTATTTCACTATGACGTCACTGCTTGTTTATGTGGGGGATAGAATCGCCGAATCCAATAGAAAATTCAACAGAATTTGCTCCTAGCGAAACAGTTAACTCTAAAATGGCCTAGTTTTCAGATATAATATGTGTTAATATGTACTAAAAAATATTCTGAGAGTTTGCTGGTTATTCTACTTCTCTTCGTGGATTGATACGGGTTTTAGAACAATTTTCGGTGAATTTGCCCCGTCCGACGACCATGATCCTTTGCGTTTAAACAATAGATTGTTTTGATGTGACGTCATAGTGAATTAGGTCAATTCTCAGGAGATTGGAATCCTTTTGTTTTTCTCCCCAGCTGCAAGACTTACCACACGAACATACATTTCTTTGTAAATCATACCGCTTTCAAAAAAAATTTCTCCCAAAATATTGAACATATTACTCTCAAATTTTCAGAGTTACTAAATAAGACATTCTCTTTCGATTTTTGGTTTGCTTGTAGCTTAAATTTTTTTATGCTAATGAGGAAAAAACGTCAGTAAAGATCGGCCTATACACAGGACTTTTTTTTAAAAACTCCTTCTATGACATATCAAAGGTAAAAAATACAAAGCGTCTGAGTTTGAATATCATGAACGTGTGGTCCTAGCGCTTAAGTTTAATAAAGCAGGAATAAGATTAAACCAAGTTAAGGATTTTGGTTGATGATCTAATGCATGGTAATGATTAGCCAGAACCTAGGAATGAAATGAACTAAATATAACGCAGTTCTATTGGCTATCTCTTGATTTAATATTCCCCGTAAAGGTTATTTCAGGGGCAAAATTTATTGCCCAATATTTTGGGTAATGACCGGAACTTTGATCGGTCATCCAGGGGGAATGTGTGCTAAGATTAGTTAATCGTCTCGATTTTAAGACAGGTGACGTTAGTGAGCAAAAGAACCGCTATTTTACGCGATGATAGGACGCGGTTGATATCACCGGTAGATTGATAGGATAACGAGGGTTATGTCGCACGAGTTTAGCTTCGTCTGGCGAAGAAAAAACTCGCTTTTTATAGGACTTTTGTTATGACTATTATTTTGACCTTGTCCCAAAGTCATCAGAGGACGCTGATAAAGAAATTCGCTGCCTTTCATGCATAACATAGTCCCTCTCAGTGCGCAAAGCATTATCATCAAAACCACGTACTTCTCATTGTAGCCAATCAAATAGAATCGAATTGGTAGAATACCGCTGTGTTTCTTGACTGCAGATTCATTTTCTCAGGGTTAGTCTCGATTTTGTGCGGAATAATCATGTGTTACAATGAAAGGCTGTAATGTATTGTTGAAGTTGAGCATTCGTTACTTAACCGTTATTTGTGAATATTAGACACTGAAATGCACTGAAAAACTCTGAGTAAATATTTCATTTGGATTAATACTTTTACCTAACATCGCAAAACACCTGTGGGTCAAAACACCTGTCATTATAATATCTATCAGAAAGTAAAAATGATATCTGAAATTCTGGAATATCTGTTTAGTAAATCACATCCATTCAAGAATAATATAAGAACAAGAAAGATTTTTTTTTTTTTTAAGTTAAGCGCCGTTTTTTTTAGCAAATCAAAGCGCTAATTTCCACGACCTTTTCTACTTAACGTCTCAGATATTTAACAAAGAAACAGGCAGCTGGTGCGTAATAAGAGGTTTTTAGGCCGTTAATCCTTCGTTAGTTAAAAAGACAAGCGCATCCCTTTAGCGTCTTGCTGTTTGAAATCAAGGGTAGCTGGCGCCGCGTAAAGAAACCATCCGCACTTATTCGTAAGTCTTACTGATGATGTAATAGAATGACATGCGCACCCCTTTAGCATCTGTTATGTTTGAGATCAAGAATAGCTGGTGCCTCACAAAGAAACTATTTACTCTTATTCGTAAGTCTTACTGATGATGTAATAGAATGACATGCGCATCCCTTTAGCTTCTGTTATGTTTGAGATCAAGAATACCTGGTGCCTCACAAAGAAACCATTTACTCTTATTCGTAAGTCTTACTGATGATGTAATAGAATGACATGCGCATCCCTTTAGCATCTGTTATGTTTGAGATCAAGGGTAGCTGGCGCCGCGTAAAGAAACCATCCGCACTTATTCGTAAGTCTTACCGATGATGTAATAGAATGACATGCGCATTCCTTTAGCGTCTGTGATATCTGAGATCAAGAGTAGCTGCTGCCTCACAAAGAAACCATTTACTCTTATTCGTAAGTCTTACTGATGATGTAATAGAATGACATGCGCATTCCTTTAGCGTCTGTTATGTTTGAGATCAAGAATAGCTGGTGCCTCACAAAGAAACTATTTACTCTTATTCGTGAGTCTTACTGATGATGGAATAGAATGACATGCGCATCCCTTTAGCATCTGTTATGTTTGAGATCAAGAATAGCTGGTGCCTCACAAAGAAACTATTTACTCTTATTCGTAAGTCTTACTGATGATGGAATAGAATGACATGCGCATCCCTTAAGTGTCTGTTGTTTGAGATCAAGAATAGCTGGTGCCGCGTAAAGAAACCATCCACTCTTATTCGTAAGTCTTACTGATGATGTAATAGAAATGAACATGCTTGTCCCCTTATTCTGTATGATCAAGGGTAGCTGGTGCGCCAGTAAAATGTAATTGGAAGATTAGCGCGTACCTTAAACTACTGTATCGTCACGCATCAAAGCTGAGAAGAGCAGAGCAGAGAACAGTGCACAGCAGAGCAGAGCAGTGCAGAGATGGGGAAAGTGGAGGCAACAACCGACACAAATACGGAACGGGAAAAAGGGAAACGATAGGAAAAGAAATGAAAAGAAAGGAAAAGAAAGATAAGAAAAGGAAAGAGGAAAAATAAAGTCAAGTGAAAGAGAAAGAGAGGTCAATCAATTCACCGCCAAAAAAAATCGTAATTCTCTAATTCAAAAACTTATGCCTTGAAATATTTCAAGAAGAAATCGTAATACAAAGTTGTAAAACATTGTTCGTTGCTAGGAAACAAGGTTGCCCAAAATAAAATCTATATTTTATTTCGCCTTTTGTGCGCTATTTAAAGAAATTTCCAGAATCGGCGGGGCTATAACTTACTTGCGCGTTCTGTCAATAAGAGTGAGAAAAACATTCAATTGCGTAAATAAAAACTGAAATACATTAGTTTAACCACTTCCTTCATTCTAGATTTTTTGTTTTTTGTTTTGTTACTTTAAGGCTTACAATTAAGCCAATTAAGATTAATATTTTATCAACCACAAATACTATCGACTTTGAGTTTT